CCTGGTCCGAAGGTGTGCTGGCTGCCCCCTTCCCCGTTCTCATGATCAGCTGAAATCTCAGGCAGGGCTTCTTCAGGGAGACACTCTGATGTGGATAAAGATCAACGGAATTTCCTCACCTTTTTTCAATTTCAGGTAAAACTAAAACTCAAGGAGGCAGAATTCACACCCCAATGGGCTCCACCTAACAACTCAGTCACTTTCTTACGGTAAAATCAGAAGTCTGGAGGCATGCCTCTCTCCAGAGGCAAAAATGGAGGGGGAGGGTGGGGAAGGGAGGAGAAAGACTTAATATTTTCAAAAAGTGACCTCACGAGGGATCAGAGGCTGTAAATACTTAGTAGCCTCCCTGACTCCTCACACAAGAGCTTGGGCCTCTGCACCCACGTGGCAAATCCAGATGGAGACCCTGCTCCATCACCCTGGGCAGCCCAGTGACATCCAAATGTCAGCGTCATGTGATAATAAAGCACCTTCTCACTCCTGCGGCGCTGGGGCAGCGGGGGCAGCCTTACCACCGGCCAGCTGCCCGAGGGCTCGGGTGGGGGGTCACCTGCAGCGGGGTGCATGAGATTCCGGGTGTGCCACTGGACAAAAGAGAGGCAAAGAGGAGCCTTGAGAGGGGAAGGCCACAGCACAAGGTTACCTCACTAGGTCAAGGTCAGGACCGCAGAATCCCTGCCAAGGCAACTGCAGGCAGGTCTCAAAGTTCAGTCTACTTAAGGCAGATACCCACTTCTTTCCTCCAACCCCCCATTTTTTTTGGTAGGAGACAGAGTTTTTCTTTCTCCCTTTTTTCTTTTTTTTTGTTTAAATACTTATTCATTTGAAAGTTAAATGAAAAGGAGAGATTCTTCTCTCTACTGCTTTACTCCCCAGATGGCCATAACAGCCAGGGCTGAACCAGACTACAGCCAGGAGCTTCTTCTGGGTCTCCCACATGCATTCAGGGGCCCAGGCACTCAGGCCGTCCTCTGCTGCTTTCCCAGGTGCATTAGCAGAGAGCTGGGTAGGCAGTGGAGCAGCCAGGAAACAAATTAACACCCATATGGAATGCCAAGTTATAGGCAGTGACCTCACCAACAACGCTGGCCCTAGGCTAATTTAAGATAACCATTCAGTATGGTCTGTTAATAATGGTATAAATATCTGAAGGAATCATGTTCCCCATCCTTGCCCTAGTTGTAGCTCACTAGGCTGAGGCCTGGTGGATCTGGCCAGGGCTTGCTCACACCTCTGCTTCAGCTGGGGTAGGACAGTGGGACCTTCGGCCAGGCTGCTCTGTGCATGTGTGTGTCATGTTTTCCTCCTGGACCAGCAGACTGACCTGCGAGCATCCTCAGGTGATGCCAGGACATGTGGAAGGTCAGGTGTCAACACAGGGAGATGCAGGCCATAAGTGGTCACACACAGGGGCATCCTCAGGTGATGCCAGGACATGTGGAAGGTCAGGTGTCAACACAGGGAGATGCAGGCCATAAGCGGTCACACACAGGGGCATCTTCAGGTGATGGCAGGAGCAGAAGGCCAAGGTAGAGATCAGCAGTCCATCACGCTCACCTTGTTGGGAGTGGCCACCAGGAGGGTCGTGCTGAACTACCTGGGAAGGGTAAAGAATTAGGACTGGGGACCACTGGCCCCACTTCATGTGTTCATTGCTCCCCTCTCCATCCAGGTGTCCACTGCTCAAGGATCTGCCCTAATATCCCCAGTGTAGTCAGAATCCTCTAGAAGCCTCCCAGCATCATGGGTCTTGCCTGCGTGCATCTCCCGTCATCTCCAACCTTCCATCCATTTCCGCATCTGCTGGCCCACTCCCGCCTCCTGCACTGCCCTGCCATGGCAGCTGGCACTCAGGCATGGGGAAGTTGGTGCTCACCAGTGGTGTCTGCAGCTTCCTGAGCTATGAATGCAACCTCCCACAACAGAGCTTGCAATGCTGGCACTCGTGGCTGGCAAAGACACTGGAAAGGTAAGAATTCCCTCTTGTGAGCTCTTGCAAGCTGGTCTCACATCATCCTAGGCAGGGATTGCTCCCCAGTGACTCATTATCACGTTTGGAAAATAATGGAAGAGCCAGAAGGATCTGGCAATGGATGAGCAGAGCTGTTGTTTAAATGGGCCTCCAGGAATGCAACAGCTCCTTCCAGAAGATGAAAGATTTTGAACATTTGCACCAAGAAAGGAATACGGGACTGAGAGTATTGCTGTTGGCTGCACACAGCTTATACAGTGATTTAACCAACACATTGGCACCTGCACCACTCTAGCCTTTCACATACAAGAATCCACTTACTTCTAAAAATTAGGAGGTAGATAATATTAGTGTCAAACAGAGCTGAGGAACTGCAAAGGGGCCAGGAGACACTCTTCTGGGGGTGAATCTGAGGCCTGTGCTTTCTGTCAGGACCAACCCAAGCCACCCCCTTGGTGGCTTAACTCATGGAGGAAACAGGAGCCTGGCATCTAGCAAATTCTGGTGTCCAGCCACACGTGTGCAGAGAGCACGAAGGCACAGATCTCCTAGACGCCAGTCACAAATGTCCATCAGGAGCAGCACAGCCACCTCACCCATCAATGCCCCTCATCCCTCAGGGATAAAAGTCCCAAACCAGGAGGGCAGAAGCCACACGACATGCATGTTTGCTTTGTTCTTTCTGCCCCTCTGAACCATAACTCACTATTCCGTTGACAAAGAGAAAACAAGGCAAGCTGGCTGTTGCCGTTGACACTGGTACCCCATTTTTCAGACGTAGAAAGCGAGACACCAAGATATTAGGTGACTCATGGAGGAGGCTGAGCCTGGAAGGGTGACTGAAGACCACGGTGTTTACCTGTGTCCAGGCTCCGGCAGGAGCACCCATGGGTGCTGGCAGTGTACTCTTCAGGCCGCTGTACCTCCCCAGAGGAGGGATAACATGGCCACAGTCCAGATAGAGGGCAGGTGAGCTCTGCCAGGTACGGAGAAGACATGGGCTTTGTAAGAGGCACAAGGTGTAAGCCGGGGCACAGACCTTACCTATGAGCTCAGCAAATGAGAGCAGAGTGACCTAGCTGATGCTGAGAAGGGGGAGGAAAAGGCCCAGGGCATCCATCAGCCTCCATGCTGCATGGTCTCTGCCACCTTTAAGACTACCTTGAGACCCACTTGAAGGAAACAAAGGCGCCCACGCTCAGACAGGTCAGTAGCCGCCACCAAGGCCCCGTGGACAGCAGATCCCAGCCTGCTCCTACCCCAGCTGGGTGCTAGCTGGGTCTCTCGTGCCAGCTCAGCCTCCTCACAGAGTACCTGGGGCTCAGAGGAGACATGGCCCGGAGCTCACCCTGCTGAACACCAGTGCCAAGTGAAGCTGCTAGCAGACTTGAAGGAGCCTTCACAGGTTCTGGGAGGCCAGCCACATCTGGAAACAGCAAAGTCTGGAAACCTACCCCTAGCTCTGGGTGGAGCTGCTCATGGAACATCCGGGCTGTTAGCTCCTGTGTGCCTGCTGTGTGCAGGGTCCACCAAACTGGTCTCTAGACAGCACTGAAGGTCCCCAGAAAGATGAAAATACCCCCACATTTCAGTGTGGGAGAAAAATGGCCTCAACTGATAAGGAATGGCTGCTTTGGGTGACTGGGGAGGTCAGCTGTGTGGTCCTATTCCTCATGGAAAGGAGAAGCCAAGGGAGGCTTTTAGCAGTGGGATGCCGTCACACCCGTCCCACTTGCTCAACATCTCCCTGCACTTGCTTTAAATCTTCACATCTGCGTTGTGGACAAGGTCAGGTTCATGGGAACCTTCCCCGACAGGCGAGGGGCTGCAGGCTGTAGATGCCAAGCTGTGTCTGTCTGAATTCTGGTCACTTGCACCCCCAAACAAGCTGCAGGACATCCCCGGGCAACAAATGGGAACCAAGGCTTGAGGGCCGTCGCTGTCCAGCCAGGTGGGTCAAGCGAAGGACAGGAGGCCGAGGGAGGCCCGAGGGAAGCTGAGGCCGCAGGGTCAGGAAAACCACGACAGCGGGAGTCTGAAGAAGGGAGGGACTAAGGGTGCAGAGAGTGGAGGGGCGGGCTCAGGCTGGGCCGCGGCGGGAGGAGAGTAGGAGCCTTGTGCTGTGCCGTCTGCAGGAGGGCTCCTGGCCTGTAAAGACAGCCTTTTCAGAGGAGTGGAGGGGGTGGGCGCCAGATTGCTGTGGGCTGAGAAATGAGTGGGAGGTGGAGACAGGGCCGGCAGCAAGTCAATTTACTCTTTCAAGAAATATGACGGGGCGGGGGGGGGGGGGAGGACAAGGAGGAGGGGAAAGAGAGGGTTTCCTGGGGGGAATGCGGCTGCAGAGATGACCACAGTGAGAGGGGGAAGTTGAACACAGGGGTCTGAGGGCTGGAGGACAGAGGGGAGGGGCTGTCCCTTGGAGGGAGCCCAGCAGCCTCGAAACCCTTCCTCAAGGACCAAGACCTCGGAAACGGACCACCCTTCGTCTTCCCGTTTGCAGACTAGGAAACTGAGGCACGGAGAGGTCAGGCGACTGGCTCCAGTTTCACCACCATTGCAGGTGTCCAGCGGCGGTACGAGCCGGCTTCCCCTCTCCTGCAGAGTCCAGAACTAGTAGCATCACCTAGGGTGGCCATAAGTGCCAGACTCCACACACACAGTTCCCTCCGGCCCCCGCCGATCGCACGGTGCTGCTACTGACCAGCCCCGCAGGTCTGTGGTGTGCACGACAAAGTTGGGAGAGTTGGGAGTTTGGGGTCTGGAACCTGCCTAGGCCGGAACGGGCACTCCCTATCTTGTTTGTGGGAGGCCAGGGGGTAGGAGTGCAGACAGGGCTGGAGCGCGCGCTAGGTGCGGGGCGCGCGCAAGGTGCGCGCGGCTCTCCGGCCGGCCGTGCCGGACCGAGGCGGCGACGTGGGCGCCCCGCGGGCCGCCGAGTCCCCAGTCCGGTCTCCGCGCTGGCCCGGCCCGGTCCTCAGCTCCACCCCCCGCCTCCTCCTCCCGCCCGCTCGCGCCTCCTGAAAAGCCTGCCCGCCCGGGGCGCCGGCGCAGAGCCGGGCCGGCGCACGAGGCAGCCAGCACGGCCATGACTGCGGAGAAGACGCTGCCCCTGGGCAATGGCAAGGCTGCTGAGGAGGCGCGGGAGTCGGAGGCGCTGGCCGGTGGCGACACGGCGTCCGTGCGCGACCTGCGGGACAAGGCGGTACAGGAGCGCGGCCACTGGAACAACAAGGTGGAGTTCGTGCTGAGCGTGGCCGGGGAGATCATTGGGCTGGGCAACGTGTGGCGCTTCCCTTACCTGTGCTACAAGAACGGAGGAGGTGAGCCGGCACGTGACGCGCGGGCGGGAGCTTCCCCTCCTGGCATGTTGGGGGCGGGGAGCGAGGGGGCGCGCGCGCGCGAGACCTCCCGCGCCTGCGTGAAGCGGGACCCTGCTCGAGGAGCCTGAGCTCGGGCCACCTGTGCCTGGGAGCACCTCTGGGCCTGGCGCACGTGTTCCAGTGCGCGTGCGCATCGCTGCTTCGCGCCTGAGTATGCCACCTGCCAGAGCGCAGGCATTCCTCAGTTAGGAGCTAAGGTGAGGATGGAGGCGGATGACCCGAGGGCAGGGGCCCTTGTGCTCTGAGAGGTAGCGGTTTCTCAGGACTTCCGGGAATGCCTTCTGTCTGTTGCACTGAACTGTTCTCGTTGCCTCCTCCTAGCAACCTGTGCACCCAGTAGCGGGCCCATTTGGCAGATGAGCAAGCCAAGAGTCGGGGAAGGCAGTTGTTTAACCTGTGGTGTATCTGGGATCCTGACCCCAAGGCCTTGTTGTAAATAAACTGGAGTGGCGTTGACAATAGGGGCAAACTTCTGGGCCCGCCTGCTGCTGATTCCGGCCTCCTCTCGGAAGACCCTTTCCAGGCCTGATATTTTAGGCCTCTCTGGTGGAGGACTTGGCACCCAACAGTTTCTTTTCCTGGCCCCCGAGTCACCCACCACGACGACGGCAACAGCGCTGACTTCATGCCGATGAGCCGCTTAGAGATGGTGGGAGGGGAGAGGGACAGGGAGGTGATGGGAGCCCAGTCTTGGCAGGAGATGCTACGGGAACGGGCCAGGGCCCTGGCTCTGAGAAGCCGTGTCTGGCCCAAGGAGCTCTCCACTGAGCCCCGCTCCTCATCGTCAGGGCTGCCGGCAGGTCCACTGGCCGCGATCTTGTCAGTCTTCAGTGGCATTATTTCCTTCGGAAATGTCCAGATCTGTGTGTTCCCCTCCATTCTTTATGGTGCCTGCACCCCTGCAAGAAGTCCTTACACACACACACACCCACCAACACCAACAACGTAGAAAGGGGGACGCAGAAGTCGGCTGGCAGGGACTGAGTGGGACTTCCTGAACAAGCAGTTGCAGGGAGAGCAAGAAGGAGGCGGCTGGACTCCTCCCTTCAGGCTGCCCTGCACTGGAAACCAAGTGGCTGCGGGAGTTGGCGGCTTGGCAAGGGGCAGAGAGCGCACAGGGCCCAGACAGTCCTGTGTCCTGGGCTGGGAGGCCAGCGTCTCTCTGCAAAGTCAGCCTCTGTTGAACTGTGATGTCCACTGGAAGACATCGCAGGGCCTCCCATTGTTGGGACAGGGCCAAGCCAGAGCTGTGCTATCACCTGTGTTTTTGTTTTTGGTATGGGAAGTTGTTAAGGCAAAGCAGGACACATTCCTGAAAGCAGGATAAGCTTGGTGAATTACAAATTCTCCCACAGATTTTATTTTTTATTTTTTTTTAATACTGAAAGGTTGTAGTGAGTAAAGTTTAAAAGTGAGTCATTACAGTCAAGTTTTTGTTTGTATTTTTTTTTTCTCTTCCCTCTCAAACCTGCCAAGTCTCCAGTGGGTGCACAGACACTTTGGTTGCATGACGCTGGTTTTCACGTGCGCGTCATCTGGTTAGGTTAGGCTCTGGGTCTCACAGGGAAATGATGGGGTGACTAGGGCAGCACCTTACAATTAATTCTGATCCTCAAGATTTTGATTGACTCAGCGGACACAATTTTTGCTGCCTGGTGTCGTGGGATTCCAGCCTAGTGACTGTCCACCTCCTTAGAGACACCTGTTCAGGGCGCCAACCACAGTGGCTGCTTCTTCCTTTTCCATGAAGTCTTCGCTTGGTCAGTGGCCCAGCACAGCCGAGTCACTCAGGAAACTTGGCGCGCACGGCCCTGCTGTTGGACGCCATCAGCATCGCAGCTCCTGGTCGGTCCTCGCTGTGGCCAGGCGCGGTTTCAGGCATTGCCTTGTCTGTGAGACCAGATAGCAGAGGAGTGGTGGGTTTGTTTCCCTGTTCTGTCACCAGTACCAAGAGGACCAAGGTTTGGAGAAGGTCACCTTCTGGTCGCTTCTGTCATCCAGTTGATCTCCCAGAAAGGTCCCCAGCCAGGATGAGACAGGAGTGTGGCAGAGGAGAGGGCTTCCCCCCCCCCGCACCCTGAGATCCCGAGGACCATACACAAGGACCACTTATTTCTCTGTGCTTGTTGAGGAGTTCCCTGAGAATACTTTTCTCCTGGAAACGGTGGGGCTTTATTCATTTATTTATGCAAGTCATTGTCCAAGAAGAAGGAGACCCCCTCTTGCCTGGTTTATTGGGGTGACTTTGAAAGAACAGATGTGGTATATAGGCAACCAAGAGGCCTGTGCTGGGGAATGACACATTTGAATCCAAGAAGCAAACAAGCTGCTCAGCCATCCTGTCACAAGTCTAGCAGTGAGAGCCCTGTTCAGCAGGTGGTGAAGCTGAGGCCAACCAACTTGGGGCACACAAGCCGGCACCCTATGCTCTGGCTTGGGGCATGTACACTGGTGCACTGTGCTCTGGCTCAGCACACACACACTGGTACTCCATGCACCAATTCAGGATGCTCACACTGGTGCTTCATGCTCTGGCTCAGGGCGCACACACTGGTGCCTCGTGTTCTGGCTCAGGACACACACACTGGTGCCTCGTGTTCTGGCTTGGAGTACACACATTGGCAGGCACCCTGTACTCCAGCTTAGGGTGTACACTGGTGCCTTATGGTCCAACTTCGGATGCACATACGAGACGCTGTGCTCTGGCTCTGGGCTCACCGTGGGAACTGGGGTTAGTGCCTGGAGGATGCCTTGTGTGGCCTGTGACAGGTGCTCCTCACTGACCTCCTGCATGGCCAGATGTGGTTCTCATGCCAGTCCTCTGTCTCCTCACAGGGGCCTTTCTGATTCCTTACGTGGTGTTCTTCATCTGCTGTGGAATCCCAGTGTTCTTCCTGGAGACAGCCCTGGGCCAGTTCACCAGTGAAGGTGGCATCACGTGTTGGCGGAAAATCTGCCCTCTATTTGAAGGTGAGGGCCGTGTTCTGGGAATGGGAAGGAAATGCTGCCTGGGCACTGCGGGCCGCCATGTGGGCTGGTGGAGGCTCACACACCCTCTCACGCTCTGTCCTTGCAGGCATTGGCTATGCCACACAGGTGATTGAGGCCCACCTCAATGTGTACTACATCATTATCCTGGCCTGGGCCATCTTCTACCTGAGCAACTGCTTTACCACTGAGCTGCCCTGGGCCACCTGTGGACATGAGTGGAACACAGGTATGGCTCCCTGGGGAGGGTGTTTGCTGCTCTTGCCTGGCACCGTGGCACCGGGGCCAAGTCCCTATCTTCAAGGCCAGTTGTGGCCTCTGGGCTCTCATTGTAAGTCCAGCTTCCTGGGATGGCCTTGCTGAGTTTGGGGGCGGGTGGAGGGTCGAGTCTGGGGGTCTTCTGGGAGTTGCAGCCTTCAGCCCTAGGACTGGCAGAGCTGGGACAACAGTGGGTTGTTCCCTGTGCTTATGAATAGCAAGGGTGTGGTTGTCAGAATGTACAAGACAGAAGACTTCATGTAAAAACCCAAGCCTCGAGATGCTTTGAGAAATGCACAGCTCCCATGAGCCCTAGCCCATAAGATTGCCTGTCCCCAATGGCAGCTGCTGGAAAGTTACTGCGGCTGTTGTCTGAGGCTTCTGCCCTCCCATTGCCACAGGTCCCACCCAGCTTTCTTTAACCACTTGCTTCACCTGCTTGACCCAGCAGGCCTCAGCACTTCAGTAGATTGCCTTTGATTTTGACCTTCTGTTTGCTCTTTGATTTGTCATCTGATTGAGGTTGAGGTTTATAATTCTAGGGAAGGCAAACGTGATCAGCCCTGTCCCAGATGGCTCTGCGCAGAGCAAGCATAACTAGTTGATCATTTGAGTCTAACCTTGGCCTCTGAGTCCCCCCAGGCCTCATGCCTGCAGCTGCTGCCTTCAGACTGGCAACGGTATGCTTACTATAAGCCATCCCCCACTGGTTAGGTCAGGCTTGGAAGTGGTCTGCCCCTCCTGAGGGATGATTGATAGTACAGACTAGAACACCTGAGCTGGATGTGCTCTGGGAGTTATAGCCTTGGGCCTAGGGCTTGGCATGGTTGGGGGAATGGCAATGCCGTCTCTTCTGCCGGTTGTGTGTGTAGACCCAGGAAGGAGCAGAGAACCTTAGATCTGGGAAGTGCAGGCTCAGCCCCCCACCCCATTTCCCTGCCAGGCATGCTTTGTGGAAACCCGACCCCCTTTTCGTGAGGGCTCTGGCTCTTAGCCTTGCTTTGTCCAGAGCCCACAAAAAGACAGGCGTCCAGTTAGGATTCAGGATGTGTTCTGAGGGGCTCCTGGGCGAGTGCAGCTGTGTGTATATGTATGATCCGAAGATGCTGCATAAACACGCACATGTTCTTGGCTGTTTGCACAACCTCCTGTGACTGCACCGGACTCTGTAAAACCTGTTCACAGTGAAGGGTGGATGCATAGACGCATGACCACAGGACAGCGCTGGTCGAGGGGAGGGAGCCGGCATGTATTGGTGAGGGCTACAGGGGGCTCAGTGGAGGCCAGTTGAGAATCAGCCGGTTGGGAGGAAAAGGGCGCTGCAGAGGAAGGTGGTGGCAAAACCAAGTCTGAAGTAGCCTCGCCAGGAATAAACCACTTCCTGCTGGTTGGCTCAGTTCTTCTGTTAGGAAAGCAACTGAATTTCAACTGGTGGCATTTTTGTGTTACTTTGAATTGCATTGCTTCCATATTTTTGTTGGAGTTTAATTAGCGTTCTTAATATGACTTTTAGAGTTGTAGTAGTGCCACCGTGAAGACTTTGCTACTCATTTCATCTGTGCACAATTAAATATTTTCACAAAAGCAACTGGCCAAACTTGGGCGGCTGAGAAAGTTGTGGGGTTTTTTGTTTGTTTGCTGTTTGTTTGTTTTATTATTTATTTATTTTGGTTCTTGGGAGAACAATTCGTGAAATGCTGTTTTAGGGAACCCAGTAAAATCCGAGAGCTTTTCATCCAAGAGAAGGGATCAGGACACATCAGGATGTGTTGCTCTAATTTCTGATCTCAGTGCCCCTCAGCACTCAGCGTGCGCCTTGGACAGCTCCTTTCAGGGTTTAGTTTGGCACCTGCCAGGGGTGTGGAAAGGAGGCAGGCAATCAGGGTTTTTCCCTGGGCAAAATTTTCATCTCTAAAAGCAGGTGACACCTGCCTTATGGTCAGAAACAAGCCTGGCCCAGAGAATACAGATGCAATCGAGAGGGCTCATCAATAAATGGGAAGGGATAGGGGCCTGGAGGAAGGTTGGTACCTGGGCTCCCAGGAAGCAAATGCTGGGCTCCTGACCTAAGGGAGCCACGTTTGGCTCTGTAGATCGAGGGCCCTGCATCCATAGTGGTGGACAGTACTGGGCACCAGCCACAGTGCGCAGGGCTGGAATGCTGACTGAAGTTTGCTGTTAATTCAGCTGAAGACTTGGAAGAACAGGGAGAGGGTACCTTTCTGAACCCTGCTGTTCTGAACTTCACGCTTCTCCTCTTCCAAGTTAAGGGATGCGAGAGAAGTGATTCCTTTCGGGAATTTATGTACTTGAAAACCAGAGTCTAACGACAGAAAGGGAAAGGTGTTTTGTTTCCTGGTTTACTCCCCAGGTGACCTCAATGGTTTGGACTGGGTCAGGTCAAAGGAGTTTTATCCAAGCCTCCATGTCTTTAGCGGGGATCTAATAAACATTGAGCCACCCTCCACTGCTTTCCCCAGGCACATTAGCAGGGAGCTGGATTGGAAGAGGAGCAGCCAGGCTTCAATCCAGCATCCATATGGGATGTCATCATGATAGGCTGCAGCTGTATTCACAATGCCAGCCCCTAGGGAGGCTGTGAAATCCATCCTGCTTAGAATTCCAGGAGCAATGAGCGGGAAGGCTTCCACATGGGTGGTCCTGGGCTTTGAAGGATGAACACACGCATGTTTTGAGCTGAGAATTCTGAGTATTAGGAAATGAATAAATTCAGGCAGAGCATCTGAAGAGCTCTGGGCTTCCCTGTGCAAGCAGGTTCATCTTGTCATCAGCTGCCATTTTAGCTCCTTATTGTGTAAAGGAAACCGAGGCTAGGTGGCATCCATGCCCATGTGACTTCACAAATGACCAGCTTCTGTTGTCTCTCTGTTCCCACAGGGGCTACTGAGCAAGATGGGGAAGTGCCATGGAGGGGCCCGAGGTGGGGAAGTGGGGAAAGCGAAGGCTTGGGGACCAAGCTGGAGGGGTCCAAGAGGGCAGCTCCGGTGGGAAGGGCCGAGAATAGATCCCTGGCCCCCAAGACCTTCACCCTGTATTGATGCCACTGTGCCTCTGTATTGATGCCACTGTGCCTCTGTGGCTATTTGCGCAATATTGATCCCTCCGCCCCGTGTTCTCAGGCCTGTTGATGTTGTGGAGCTGCCACGGCTGACTGCCTTGGGCACCATCAGCTTTGGGCCCGTTCCAGGACTCGGCCCTCGTCCAGGTTAACCCTCCCGTGTTCTCTGTCTTGTTTCCACTGCAGAGCGCTGTGTGGAGTTCCAGAAACTGAACATGAGCAACCACAGCCATGTGTCCCTGCAGAATGCCACCTCCCCGGTCATGGAGTTCTGGGAGTAAGTGGAGAAGGAAGAGCTGCTGTCCCTCTCCCAGGGCTGGGAACTCTGTGCTGGTTCTGTTTCTGTGGTCTGGAGAAAAACTGGGCACCCCTCCCCCCAGCCTGGTGCATCCTGCCTTTGGTGCATCTCCCTGCCCCAGGAGAGAGAATTAAGAGGGGTAGAAGTTTCCCCCAAGGGCAGCTGCTAGAGTTGCTATCTTCTTGGTTCTTGATAACAGTCAGTGTGCGTACTGCTGGTAGGAGGCAGAAAGTGCTTGGTAAAAGGCTGGACACGTTAAAAATTCATTATGAGCCAAAGAGAAACCAGAGTGCGTTTGCTGGGAGCCGAGTCGAGGGCTTGCTGAACCGGGAAGGCCAAAGCCTCCAGGGGCACAGGTGAGCTGGCTTGCAGCAGCTGGAGTGGAGTATGGGCAGAAAGATGGACTCTAATGGACTGGCTTCTAGAGAGGCAGGTGTCTCAGCACCAAGGGGAAGGGTGTTCAGGGGGTGGAGGGACTCTTCAGGGCGCACTGCAGTAGCAGGAGGGACACCCCCAAAAGCCATGGGCAGGGCTGGTGTAGATGGGTGGTTTTCCAGGGGTGGACATGATTTTAGGAGGGCTTCAGGGGACCCATGACTCTCCCAAGGCTGCCACAAAAGGTTATATAAGTTGCACACTGACCCACCCACGGGAGTTATGTGCTCCCGGGTGCTGTGGTGTGGCCATGAGCTAGACATTCCTGTAGAGGGGATTGGAGAGTGCTGCATTCCAGGTCTGGATCAAAGTATCCTGGGACCTGTCACTTCCTGTTACTTTCCTGTCTGAGAGGCCTGGCTCGCTGAAGATGTCGCCAAACCCATCAGGGCCAGAGTGTGGGTCCTCGGCGAGGCCTGCTGTTTCCCTTTCCCTCTCAGAAGGTCACCCTGTTGATTTTAGATGGCTCATCCTCAAAGCTCAGCCTTGAGTCTGTTTAGCAGGTGCCTGTGCTCCAGGTACCCAGGCATCTCTCGCATCCTGAAAATGTGCATGTACCTGCTGTCCATGCCTGTGCCCTAATTCTATTGCAGAGTTCCTGAAATGGCTGTCCCTGTGCATAAAGAACAGGGGTTGGTTGTAGCTAACCATCTGGAGGCTGGGATAGGCCAGGACCCCGGCCTAGGTATCTGCTCAATGGCTGTGAGCGCTTCAGTGCCTGGTGGACAGCAGAAAGGCCAGGAGGGGGTTGTGATATAGAGAGGCTGCATGCATGGGTGTGTGTGTGCATGTGTGTACTTACATACATGAGGGAGGGGGAAATGGAAGGATAAGCAAACTCCTCCCATGCTAGCTCATTCATTCCAGTGGGAGGGAGAACTCCTGAGATACAGTGCAAACCTTCCTCTCACGCCCTTCATCCCAACATGCTGCATGGGGTGGGCCTCCAGGTGGGATGCCTTCTTGACACAGTGTATCATTATCTGCATGCTTTGTGACACCTTTGCTCACTGTTGGTCTGGAGGGTGACTGTGGTGACACAGCTTTAGTTGTTTCATCCTCTGTTGTCCAGCTCCACACTCCTGCCTTCTGAATACCATTTCCTTGGCCTCTTCTACACTGCGTTTCTCTGGATCCTCTGGGTGAACCTGAAGGGTCTGAATGGGACTACAGCCCATGTCATGACGACAGCCCCGCCTGTGCTCTTGAGAGTGAAGTTCCAGGCTGTTCCTTTCATTGTTAATTAGGGGACCTGAGACCGTCTGTTACAGACCACAGATGGATTTCCTAGAGCTGTGCGGGATAGGGAGTCCAAGGTGCCTGGTCCCTGGATGGGAGCAGAGAGGAAGCAGGTGGAACTCACCCTCTTGTTGGGACCCTGCCCCTCCACTGTAGCATGAACCTGTTCCTGAGGCCTGAGTCTTGCTGAACCAGGCACCTCCCATAAGCAGGCCTCCACCGTGGGCACTGGGGAGCCAGAGGCACCTGTGGACCAGGGGCACCTTTTCTGTTCTGCCTTTTGTTCTCTGATTTTCCTCTTCTGTGAACATGAAATTAAACTCATTCTATTGAGTTTGGATTGTCCTTTCTTGCCACACCCTAGATACTTTGTTCTTTCAATGTCTTTGCCCAGCATGTGGCTTTTCTTTATTATGTAATGACATGAAACAGGTTTAGTTTTTATTGAGGTAAGATGTGTCAGTCTTAACCTTTGCTTCTTGCTGCTGCTCCTGCTGCTTTTCCCAAAGACTAAGAGACAGAAGAGAGTGCCCACCCACTGTCTCGTTTCCCAAATGCTGTGCCAGGCCAGAGTGGGGAGGTCTGTCTCCCTTGTGGGTGATGCGAGCCATCACTGCTGCTCCCCAGGTCTGCTTGAGCGGGAAGCTCAAGACAGCAACCAGAGGAAGAGTGTGGGACATCCTGACTGGCATCTGACTTGCAGTCCCACATTTTACCTCCATTGGTTTTTCATGATCGGCACTGTTGTTGTCTTACTTAAAGACATATCCTTTCCCCAAAGCTGTACAATATTGTCTTCTAAGAAAAGTCTAATTTTCTCATGTTTAGGAATTTAATCTATCTGGAATTTAGTTTTCTTAATGGAAGGTAGAAGTCCAGTTGTTTTATGTAAATAACCAAGTTCTCTAGTGGTGCTTATGGATCAGCCTCTCCGAACCGACTATAGTCTCAGCTTCTAAGAATAGTTTTTTCCCCCTAGAATTACAGGCGTTTTTGGGCTCTCTGGTCCACTACTCTTTTTGTCTGTCTCTCCCTTGATACCAACAACAGCTTCATTATCAGCCTTGAGCTAGTAAGGAAACACCTTCCAAGTGAGTTTAAGAACCAGCCTTGTCAGTTAGCCAACGGTAACCTCAAGGACGAAGCCACCCCGTGGTGATTTGTGGGGGGATGTCTGGTGAGACCGCAGCTGTTAGGTCCTTTCAGCGTCAACTGTTTTTGATATAAGCTCTTTTTAATTTGCTGCCACATCCCGGAACACTAAGTGCAGTGAGCCATTCAGGAGGTTTTATTCCAGCAGGGAAAATGGCCACGGGGGCGGGAGTGGAGGCAGAGAGAGGGAAAGGGGTATCTCCTGCCATAGTGGCAGGAGGGGGCTCCAAGGGAAGAGAGAGAGAGAGGAGGAGCAAGAAGCAGGTGGCATGCATGCAGTATGCCTTTATGGCCAGGAGTGGGCATCAGGAGGCAATGAGGGATTGGTGGACATGGCTGTGTATGGGCTATGAGGGATTGGTCAGGGCTGCAGGGCATTGCTACGTGTGGCAGTGGACAAGGACTAGGGGGAGGGACCACTGGGTATGGCCGTCAGGTAAGGTGTCATGAGGTTACAGTGGATTGGTGGGAACAGGGTTATGAAGTTACAGTGGATTGGCAGACAACAAAATTTGGACCTAAAAGGCACGTAAGGAAACCAAGACCTAGGGGAAGCAGCTATTTAAAATGATACTTAAATACTTAAGATGTTTAAATTATTTTAAATATTTAAGGTATTTAAAATGGCAGGGGTCTTCAGGGCCAATGTTTGAGTCACTCCTCACGGCCGGTTTATTCGAGGAGGCTTGTCATCTGTAGTGGAGCCTTCCTGTCCATGAGCACGATATACCCAGCTGTCTGTCTGCTGAGGCCTCGTAAGATGCGTTGTTGAGTAGTGTTGCTGAACTGTGGTCTTAGGGTCACAAAGTTTCATATTATCTCATTACCAACCACAGACCCCAAATCATAGTCACAGATAGATCATCTGTAAGATAGGAGGAACTTCAAAATGCTTATAGGATAGATAGATTAAAACAGGAGATTCTTTGGGTACAAAAAAATCTTGAAATCCAGGCATAGTTTTCTTTAAACATTTTTTTTTTGTGTGTGTGTGTGAACTTTTAAATCTCTCGTAAGTGCTAAGGTGGGGGTCTCTGTGCTGGGTGAGATTGTCTTGTTTTGTTTTTTTTTTTTTCTGATCCGCTGGGCCATCGTTTCCTGGGCTGCGGTGGTTTACGGAGACCTGCTTTGGAATTGCATATTGGTAGAAAATGAAGTCTCTTTGGCCCTCAGAGAGCTAGTCCTGAAATCCTAGACTGGACCAGGTTCCTGTGTATGTGCCTGTTGTTTTGCCCTGAAGCTCTTGTGGCTTTCCTGTTCGCTCGGGGAGTTTCTTCATTGTGTCCCCATGGACTGTGGTGAAGGTGAACCTCTTCTGGTGTTACACCCCCTGCCAGGCTATGGAAGGCCCTCCGTGAACATTTTCAGAATGGATGGATGGGTGGGGAAGGCAGGTAGGCAGGTGACTTACTTGAGAAAATTCTTCATGAGAACAGCCAAAAGGGCTTGGCAAGGACTCACACTGTCATTCAGTTTTTCACTCAGCAGCATTGGTCACTCCCAGACTCCCTGTGCAGAATCTGTTGCTCGCTTTTCCTGGACACTGAGTGGCAGGAAGGAACAGCTCTCCTGGGTCCTCACACTTAAGGACCTTTTTATCTGCTGACCAATCATTCCAAGGGAGCTTTGGTGGGACGTGAATGCAATAGTTCTAGGTTTCTGTTCAGGCAGCCTCTGTACCCATAGCTGCACACAATGTTGTGTTCTGTGTCCTGGAAGTGTTCACAGGCAGGTGAGACACCGTTTTACAGATACTTTTATTAGACGGCTCTCATTCACCGTTTTTTTTTTCCTCCCCAAAAGGTGAGCTTGGAATTTAGAGATTCCAAGATGTGGGATGTTTAGAGCATCCTGCCAGAAGCCTTTGAGCTGTGCAAGGAGAGTCTACTGGTCAAGGTGTTGTAGCAGACTTGAGCGATATACTATGCCAATGGGCAGGGAGGCTTGGTCCTAACGCAGCTGTGTTTCCTCACATTGAGCGGTAGGCCCTGCAGAGTTCCCATTAGGACTCCCATAGCTATTTTATTCTGTGCTGTGGCTGAGCCCAATAAGCTCGCACAAGTTATGAGAAGGGCCAGAAGCTGTGTCCACATACATTGGATGAAACCAGTCCCTTAAGCCACTTTTCCTATGGGATAAATTGGTATCTTTCC